CGCACACACACACACACACACACACACACACAGGAGAACTTCCAAAAGTTTATGGTTAAAAAAAATCCATTATCTTTTTTTTCTTAGAATGACGTACCTTCATTTAACCGATTACAAGGAACTATATGTGACCGCCTCCCTGGGGGACAGACAACAGAAAAGTGGGTGAAGGGAGATTTCGGACAGGGCAAGATATGACAAAATAATAATTATAAAGTATCAAGGGCTCACGAGGGCAGGGAGGGAGGGGGAAAATGAGGACCTAATGCTGGGGACTCAAGTGGAGAGGAAATGTTTTGAGAATGATGAGGGCAATGAATGTACAAATGTGCTTTACACAATTGATATATGTATGGATTGTGATAAGAGTTGTATGAGCCCCTATTAAAACGATTTTTTTTAAAAGCTAGGTTTTTTTTAAAATTACACATTTATATCTAGACTTCTGTTTTCATTTGTCTTGGGTAGATCAATACCTAGGGTATTTATAAATATCTTGGGTAGATAAATACCTAGGAGTGGAAGGTGCTAAGTCATGTGTTAATACATTTTATTTTTTAAGAAACTGCCCATTTTCCAAACTGGCTCCCATTTGACATTCCCATCAGCAATGTAGGAGAGTTCTGATTTCCCTACATTCTTGCCATATTATCTATTGGTTTTATTTTTTTAATCATTTTATTGGGGACTCATATAACTCTTATCATAATCCTTACATACATCAATTGTATAAAGCACATTTGTACATTCATTACCCTCATCATTCTCAAAACATCTGCTCTCCACATAAGCCCCTGGTATCAGCTCCCCATTTCCCCCCTCCCTCCCTGCTCCTCCCCCCTCCTGAACCCTTGTTAATTTATAAATTATTATTTTGTCATATCTTACACTTCCAACATCTCCCTTCACCCACTTTTCTGTTGCCCGGCCCTCAGAGAGGAGGTCACATGTAGATCCTTTGTAATCGGTTCCCCTATTGTTTTTATTAAAGCCATCCCAGTGGGTGTGAAGTTTTCAGTGTCTGACAGTGTTTTGCTGCTCTTGACAAGATTCTCACTGGCTAATTCCTGGCAAGTGAACAGCCTTAGTCAGTTCTTAGGATAGAAGCTCCATTGAAACATTTTTACTTTGGCTAATCCTCTGGTGTTTGAAAAAGCCGCCCTGATAGGTGGAAACCACTATCAAGAACCACTGTGATCAAGAACCCATGGTACTGAAAGAAGAAGTTGAAGCTGCCCTGGAGGCATTAGCCAAAAACAAGATTGCAGTAATTGATGGGATACCAATGAAAACATGTCAACATGCTGACGAAGTACTGGAAGTACTCCCTCATTCATGCCAAGAAAATTGGAGGACAGCTAGTCGGCCAACTGAGTGGAAGAACTCCATAGATCTACCCATCCCAAAGGAAGGTGACCCAACAGAATGCAGACCTTGCAGAACACCATCAATAATATCGCATGCAAGTAAAATTTTGCTGAAGATCATTTAACATCAGTTGCCGCACTGATAGGGAGCTGCCAAGGTTCAAACTGGATTTAGAAGAGAACATAGAACAAGAGATATTGCTGATGTCAGATGAATCTTAGCAGAAAACAGAGAATTACCAGAAATATGTTTACTTGTGTTTTATTGACTATGCAAAGGCTCATACAAAGGGGGACCCCTCTTTCCCCCCACCCCCCACCCCCGACAAAAAAAAGCTCCACTGGGCAGAGCTTTCATAGTATGCATTTTTACCCACTAAGTGAGCATCCAGCAACTGGCTCTGAGTTAGTGCGCCCAGTGGCATTGCCTGAGAAGGTTCTCTCTGGTCACAGTGAATTTTTTTTTGCAAAAGCAGTTTTGCTTGAACCTTGTTTATTGTGATGGCCAACTTAAGAGAGCAGCGTGTGACTGAAATTTTATTTCCTACTCAAGAAAAATGCCACAGAAACTGTTGTGATGCTGAACACAGCTTACAAGGACAGCACTATGGGAAAGACTCAAGTGAATGAGGCGTTTTCTCATTTCAAAAAAGGTGAAATGTCGATTGATGACAAATCTGATTTTGACATCCATCTGACTCTTCCCAAGTGGATGAAAATGCGGACTCACAGTGCATTTTGGAGTTCATTCCACAAGGTCAGACTGTTGATCAAGGTTTCTATTTAAAGGTTCTGAAAAGATTATGTAACAGTGTGTGACAAAAAAGGCCTTATTAGTGGAAGACGAGTGACTGGTTTTCCACCATGACAATGCACCTGCTCACTCAGCCATCTCAGTGCACCAGTTTTTTACAAAAAACGGTATGCCTCTCTCTTGCCCCACTCACCTTACTCACCAGACCTCGCTCTGTGTGACTTTGTTTCTGCAAATTGCAGAAGTACATGAAAGGTTTTGAGAATGAGGGCAATGAATGTACAAATGTGCTTTACACAATCGATGTATGTATGGATTGTGATAAGAGTTGTATGAGCCCCTAATAAAACGATTAAAGAAAAAAGGACATCAAATGACATCAATTTAACAGTGTAGAAGAGGTGAAGAAAAAAACAAGGGAGGTGCTGTCAGCTATCCAGATGAGTTTGAAAAATATTTCTAAGAATGGAATCACAGATTTGACAAATATATTAAATGTAATGGAGAGTATGTTGAAGGTGATAAAGTTGTTTGGTTAAAAAAATTAAATCCATAGCTTTGGGGGGGGTGGATCCATTTGGGGGGCTACACCCTCTTATTTGTGCGGACCATAACAAACTATGAATATAACCTTGAGAAGAATGGGAATTACAGAACACTTCGTTGTGCTCATGCAGAACCTATAAATGGATCAAGAGGAAGTTGTACGACAGAACAAGGAAATGCTACATGGTTTCAAATCAAGAAAGGTGTGTGTCAGGGTTGTAACCTTTTGCCATAGTTATTGAGCCTGTATGCTTAGCAAATAATCAGGGAAGCTGGATTATTTGAAAAAGAACACATCAGAATTGGAAAAAGGCTTACTGACAACCTGCACTATACAGATGACACTACCTTACTTGCTGGACATGAGAACTTGAAGCATTTGCTGATGAAAATCGAGGATTGCAGCCTTCAGTATGGATTATAACTGCATGTGAAGAAAACCAAAATCGTCACCACTGAACCAGTGGGTTACATGAGATGGCGAAAAGTTGGGACTTGTCAGGATTTCATCTTAGATACACAATCAATGCTCATGAAAGTAGCGGTTGAAATTTAACAACATGCTGTATTGAGTAAATCTGCACAAGAGATTTTTAAAAATACTTTAAAAATAATAAAATCTCTTTAAAGTGCAAAAAACGCAAGGATGTTAGTTTGAGGTGTGACTGACCCGACCCATGATGTTTTCAATTGCCTCATATGCATGTGAAGTTGGCCATTGAATAAGGAAGGCTGAAGAACAGCCAATGCATTTGAATTCTGTTGCTGGCTAAGAATATTGAAATTACTATGGACTGCCAAAAACAAACAAACAACTCTGTCTGGGAAGAAGTACAGCCAGAATGCTCAAAGAGTCTCAGCTTTGGACATGCTATCAGGGAGACCAGTCCCTGGGAAAGGACATCATGCTCCGTAAAATAGAGGCGCAGCCAAATAGAGGAAGACAAGATGGATTGACACAGTGCTATCAACAGTGTGCTCAAACAAGAACAATTACAGGCTGGCACAGGACGGTTGGAGTTCTGTTCTGTTGGACTTGGATTGGGCTGGATGGCACCTAACAAAGTGGGTGGGAGGTGGTGGTATTGTGGCTTCGAGCTGCATTTTCCCACTGGCATCTGTGAGTGTGGCCCGCTTCTCTCTTTGGGGAGTACTGTCTTCAGAGCCTTTGCCCTGATTTTTTAATTGGGTTACACTCATTTTGGGTTGAGGTATAAGTGCTCTCTATGTATTTTGGATACAAGCCCCATGTCAAACACAGGATTCACCTTTTCACTTTTTGGATGGTGTGCTGTAAAGTTTTTCCATTCTGAGTAACTCTTTTTTTTAATCTCTAGTGCTAGCTTACCTGAAACCAGGATTCCTGTTTTTCTCATTTGAGTTCTTGGTCTGTGTCACCCCTGCACATCTATGTAGCCTAGGCTACGGCCCTCTCTTGACGACCGTCCTGCTGCTGCATGCCCACCGTTTCCATTTGCCTCCGCTGTCATTTCCCTGCTGGAAACTTGGTCACAGGACCCTGTGTGACAAGGTGTGACTCAGGCTTCTAGCTCCTAATTTAGCAGTCGACAGCCTGCTCAGCCACAATCGCAATTTGGGTATACAAGTTGATGGTCTTGCTGCGTTTTCAAAAACAATTTGCCCACCTGCACCTGCAGAGGGTGTCCGCGCGAACCGCGGGGACCTGAACCCCCGGCCCGCTCACGTCCTCTGCGACCTTCCCGGGGAAACGGTCCCCAAAGGGCTTGCTGGCCTCTCCCGCCGTCGAATGGGAGCTCGTGGCCTTTCCCTCTTTGGAGAAATGAAACCTAGCCGTCGGCGCGTTTTCCCCAGTTCCCCACGCGGTCCTCGGAGCAGGCGCCCCGGT